GTTATATAATTTGCGATCTTGCATCTTTGCGTATAATTTGCGACCTTGTGGCTCTGAGATCTTACACTCTTTTGTGACAAAAAGGTGTTCGCAAAAGTCGCAAATAAGGTTGGAAAGGTGCAAAGATTGCGCCTTTGCAGCAGGCATCTCTATTGCCAACACAAACTTAAAGGAATTATTTGTTGTACCAAAATATTAGAGAAAATTTGCTTGGTTAATAATGTATCCATGGGGGATGTTGATCCTAAATCTGCGAAATTCATTGATTGTTATCTGAATACTTTGAAACTATCTAGAGTTGAAGAACGTGAAGCATTGGAAGTAGGAACGTTCCTATGTAAGTAAATCCCCAGTTATTATTTAAGCTTTGCGTCATCTTTGTCAATTTATAGAGTTGTGGATGCTGCCTAATATCCCAGGTGACCGAGATATAAGACACATTTGCTCGTTGTTTATTGCTGGAGATAGTATTAGTTCATTATTTATTATAGCATTACTAAAAAATTTTCGCTCAATATTCTGCCTAGCAAATTGAATTGGATAAAATTGAATCATTATTTAAAGGTTTGATTGAATCAAATTGTATGTTATTTACATATGATTTATTTCTGAGGAATTTTCAACTGAATTTCTGTCTTGCACGTTGGTCATTAGAGGGATTCTTGGCAGAACTTCTACTAAATGGAATTTCTTCATTTATTAAAGAATTTCTATTCAAATTTGTTGCTAAAGAATTCTTGCTTAAGAATTGTAAAAATGCTTCATCCAAGCTTTGTAAATTTGTTGCTCTAAATGTATTTGGATTAGTTTCTTTTTTGTAACCTTTAGGGCCCCTCTTTTTCTGTGACTCAAATTTACATTCGCGATTATGCTTATTACAATCCATGCATCGACCATTATTTAAATAGACGCATTTAATTTTTTTTTGTCTACAAAAATAGCAAGATGAAGCATTTATAACTAATCTTTGTCTATTATATTTAATATAATTCATATGTCCATCAATGATATTTCTTTCAAGTCGTTCTTCAGAAATATTTGTGTGTTGAGATAGTACAGAAATGTTTTCGAGAGGCGTGCTTTGTCGGCCGTTATCGTTTGAAGGAATCAAGTCTCCTAAGTCTATTAAAGTACTTGCATTTTCAGATAGTATAGGAACATTTTCGAAAGATATTCCATTATCATTCGAAAGAATCGAGTTTCTTGAGTAAGTTGAAGCATTGGACATTAACTGTGTAACTTCTCCGTCATTATCAATAACATTTGTAATGAATTCTACAGGGTTTTTTCTTGATAACCTCTCGAGTTCAGACAAAATATCGTTCAATGCAGGGCGCAGATCAGGTCTAGATGACCAACATTTTTTGAAGAGTGTGGCGTAATCCATGGGTGTATTGGCAATAGTTTCTTCTCTTTCATTATTTAAAACCTTTAAGCCTATAGCAAAATCATCAAATCCATTAAACGGGGAAATTCCGCTTGTAAGTTCCCAAAGCAATACGCCCAAGCTATAGATATCAGATATTTTATCGATATTAACTTTTTTTCCTCCTTGAAGATAGTACTGTGGTTCAATATATGCAGCTATGCCTTTCACACCAGAACTCGAAGTAGAAATGGAGCCATCTAATTGTTTTAATAAACCAAAATCTGTTATCAATGCCCTCCCATCATGTATCAAAATATTCATAGAATGCTAAAGTTTATAAACAGTATTAAAATAAGTTTTAGCAGGAATTAGAATATTATATATAAAAAGAAGTAAACTAACGAGATTTCTATGAATTATATTTTTGTCATGTAGGTGGCCTAATCCAAGTGTAATTTCTATTGCAATCCTGATGAGTTCAGTCCATAATATTTTATAAATTCCATCCTTTTGTTTTCTTTTTAAATGTTCCCGCAGGTTACCACCATTGGCAAATTGTAGTATCAACATAAAATTATCCGTTTTTTCATCTAAAATTCAACATTCTATAACTTAGAAATGATATCATACAAATATAGTTTAGAGACTTTTACCTCTCAAAACGCCATGGAATTTTATAATGTTAGGGTGGTCGACCATATAAAGATACTTAAGCTACATACATTTTATTAAATAAATATGAATAGTAAGAAACCGAAGAATAAATATGAATAATGCACACTACCTCACTTTTAAATTTTTTGAATGTTTCATCGTCGAAACTTAAATTATTTTTTAGACTTTTTACGGCGTATATTTGTCCTTCTTCGAAGATGGCCGAATATACCATAGCATACTCCCCTCTCCCGATAGTTTTGAGGTCATTGAATTTTGAATAATCGAATTGCTTTGTATTGCAATTTTTTAAACTTGTCTCTAAATTTTTCGAATATTCAATTACTAATATTTGAAGGGTAATAAATATAAACTTAAGTATAAACAATCTAAATAAAATTGAAATTATCGTCGCACTGATTAAATATCTAATTAAAAAGGCTTGCAAAATAACAGGCATTTCATAGAGAAAAATTCTCATCATGAAAAGTTCAAGTGCATACACACTTTTCATTTTAATTAGTCATGAATTATAGAATGCTTCGGTTTGCATGCAGATATTAATCAGTGCGTACGGTAACTGTTGGTGTATAATAGCTTACATGTGCTCATTGATATGGTTTTCAGTTTATTAATCAAAAATTCCTTTGCCGTCGACACTCAAAACGCTTAGTTTGTAATCCTAATACAGTATGAATGCCCGGTTTTATAATGATTACCGGGAAATGGAACGATATATTAAATGTAGTACATACGAATGAAAATATTTGAGTATTATTAATGTACGTAGAAACATGTTACACAATTTGTGGTCGTAATTTGTACATTTAAAGTACATCTTCACGAGGCTTATGTAAACCTTATAAAACATGAAGTTTTCGTCGTATTTAACAATACCAGTTTAATCCCTTTGAATCCTGTTCTAGGTGAAATTTATTTAATATAAACCCTATACTGAAACCCTAAAATTTCAAATCACTTAAATCCCGTTTCCACTTACCACATGTGTATCTACGCTTTGGTTATTATTTGATATAGGATTAGACGTAGCTTATTGATATTTCTGTATCTTATAACTTTCGAAGTTAGTTCATGAGTTAAAATAAAGATGTACTGCTTTGTGGCAAATGTAATTAAATTCGTTATGGTCTCAATTTTGTATTTTTTATTATTTTGAAACTCATGATTTAATTGGCTAATTATCACGTGAAAATACATGTAACATTGAGCGTTCTAAATAATACAGCATTATTCTATCACACTTATGTTAAAACATATAACGAATGATAGTTTTCTTAGTAGTATGTTAAAGTGTATACGTGAAATAGCTTTCTTAATAGTATGTTAAGGTGTATACGTGAAATGGTTTTCTCAGTATTTAGAATTGTTATTTGTTGAGCAAAGTTAAAATTGTTATTTCTTGACGAAAAAAAAACATTATTAATTCGGATGTACTTAAAATTGTTATTTCTCGATAGACATTTATTAGGTCGGATGTATTTAAAACTGTTATTTTTGGTAAAGACATGATTAGGTTGGATGTATAATTAAGTCGATATGTTTAAAAGATACTTCTCAGCAAAAACATTATTAGGTCGGATGTATTTAATATCATTATTTGGTGAACAGAAATATTATTAAATCTGGTGTATTTAAAATTGATATTTTAAAATTGATATATGCTGGGCGAAGATATTATTAAGTTGGTTATTTTTAAGATTGTAAAAATGCTATTTATTGGAAAGTAGGATAATATTTTGAATACTATATAGTTTACATATTAAATTAGTTATTGAAGAAAAATTGTAATACTCACATTTTTTACGATGTATAAATGATTGTTGCGGCTGAAGCTGGAAATGTTAAATATTTTAGGTTGATCTTTAGTATAGCTGGGTATATATAATTATTACAAGATTATAATATATAAACCCTAACCAATTTGAGCTAATTTAAGTAATTTTATAAATTATTAGAGTTAGGGTCAGAGTTAGAATTTAAATTGGCTCAAATTAGTTAGGTTTTATATATTATAATCTTGTAATAATTTATATATGTCTACCTATACTAAAGAAGATCCTTATTTTAATATGAAATTTTCAAAATTTTTTGGGGTGTATTTTTTTAGCTTTTTTTTTATGATTAGATTAGGATTTAGGGGTAATTTTGATAATGAAAGAGTATAAGTGGATTTTGGCAGGGTTTATAGTTGCTCTTCTTTACTTATTGATTTCGTTGTTCGCTTTTCTTCAATCGTTACTTGCATAATTTACTATTCTTAATTTATTTATTGTGTCATTTGTTGTCTGCATTTTTGGTTGTGCTAATGTTGAATTGTTTGTACCGTTCGTTGTTTGGTGCTGATATTGGTGGTAAATCCATGCCTTTTCAAGAGAATTGATCAATGTGCGTACATACGAATTATCGATTGACATTTCAGAAGAGTATTATTTTGAAATTCCTGCGTAATGATAAATCGCATTTATATTAAATCAGTGATTGTATATCAAATTAACTTAATTCTAGTTACGTCGCATAAGAACCGTACGATAATATATTTTTTATGTAATTTAAATATAAACACGCGTGTAATTAGTTATATTCAGATTTTTGTACAATAACTATAAAGTGATACCCGACCTAACCCCTCAGTAAATTCAACTCCAATAGTCAATATATTAAATGCAATTCGATAGGACCCTGCATTTAGAGAGATCATGTAGCTTGGAACCAAACTAGAGCTTGGATTTATAAAGTAAAGTTACATTTAAAGATTTCACGCTTAGAATAATTCGTATAACTGAATTGAGAAGGGTGTCCATTGATCCTAAGTTTGTTGTTACCTTATCATTAACAAACAATGTGATTATAAAAAGATTTTACACGTTATTTATTGTAAGTAAATAGAACAGAATATAGTAAAATTGTTTCACAATCAATTCAATAAAAACAACCGTTAAAATTAATAATTCACACCCTACTTATAAAAACTACTGGACAAAAAGTTAGCTAACATTAAGAAAAAAATGGTGACTCAAAATAACTCTTCGATATGCAAAGAAGATGGGACCACAAAATTGGTGTACATCATGCAATGCCAAACGATTTAAAACTGTTTTTCCTAAATGGGCGAGCAGTAATTCTGAGACAGGTAAATTTATTCATAATACTCAAATAGATGCCAAACGCTAAGAGTGCGTATTTGAATGGATCGCTTTGAAGTGATCAAATTTTTTAGAAATAATAAAAATTTTTGGGAAGAAGGTGAACTACAAAATCAAATAAATGGATCCGGCATAGTTAAAGTTGTAACTAATCAATATGATGAAAAATGTTTAGTTTCTCGGTTTCTTCAATTGGCAAATGCAATTTCTTCAATTTTTGATGTTATTATTTTCTATTTAATGATGACTAACTGCTACATCAATTTAGAAGCATGACTTTTCAAAGGAAACCCCACCCAAATGGCCAGTTTATAAACAAAAGATTATGCTATAATTAAAAATTAATAGACCGGTGCCTTATTGTCATCAAGAATGAGTTTTTCCTTGTTGGTGATATAGTTGTAATAATAAATTTTTTGAATCTAAATGTCCAAAGTGGACAAGTTGCAACTAAGATATTGATGTCATTATTCACGAAACATGAATTTCCTGAGCAAGTCTTAGAATAGTTCAATGAAATTGAATTTACAAGATTTGATAAAATTGGTGAAGGTGAATATAGATCTGTTTATAATGCCTATTGGAAAGATGGTCGTATTTTAAAGTGGGATTACGCCAGAATGAAGTGGACCAATGTGGGTTGCTTTAAATAAATAGTTAAGATAGGAGATATTAGTGCATTACTTAATGAAGTAATAGATTTTGCTCCCCGTTCAATTATTATTTAATCATTAATCATTTATTCAATTAGATAAAACTATGCATGAATGTCAAAAAATCAATTTATGCTGTATAAGATTGCATTTGAGTTTGCATCGGACAGCTTTGTACATCGAGATTTACATAGTGGTAATATACTTTTTGAAGATAATAGGCATAGTTTTGTTTCTGTCTTGGATTGAATTGTAAATATGGTTAAATTCAATTGAAAGAAAACCATGGGTGTCTTACCGTACATAGCGTCAGAGATACTCGAAAGAAAACCATATAAAAACAGCTACGGATATTTATAGTTTTTGCATACCGTACAAGCGCGAAATAACGTGCAGGGACGTTATTTTGAAATTTGGCCCGAATTAAGCTTAATTTAGGCCAAAATTTGAAATTAAACCCCTGCGCGTTATTTCGCGCTTGTACGGTATGTATGTGGTAATTTACCTCTTTTTCACATTTTTGTGGAGAGATTACATGACTTAGCTTTAGATATTTATAATGGATTAAGACCGTTGGCGATTAAAGGAACTCCTCCATGTCATGCTGATTTAATGAGACAGTGATCCAGACAAGCATCCTCCTTAGCTTATATTTTAGAGAATGGATAAGTATGCTTTTTGAGGATAAGTCGAATATGACGATGGTAACATAAGGAATCAATTTAAATCAGCAAATTAGAAAGATAAAAAAGTTCATATCTCGGTATGTTATTTTCAAATTTGAATATATGTAATATAGTTAGTCGCCTTCTTTCAGTGCATTATCTTTTTAATTTCTTGTAATCTTCATATTATTATAATATTTATAATTTATTTGTTGATTTTTTATACGCAGGTGAAAGTATACAAATTGAGTTCATTATTACCGACAATTAGTTTTTTCTGGTAAATATTACCGAAATTATATTTAATTTTATTAACGACTAGTTCGACGGGTGGCGCGAAGCGCCACCCATCTTATTCAAAATTTGTTTTCCTACTTTAGTTTTTTAAAAAAAGAAATACGAATTATGTTTGTGTTTAAAGTTAATTTATAATTCATTATTACCCTAAAAAATTTTATTTGAATATTTCCATTTTATTTCTTTAATTTTTGTAAAAATTTGACCAATCAAAACGCACAAATACACTGCTTCTCGCTTAAATTTCTCCGGTTCCGATCAATTCGCCGACAATCATTTCACCGGATGCTCATTTAGCTGATATTACTTAGGGTTAGGATTAAGCATTTGGTTAGTTGCAGATATGTATTTTTACTAAATTCACTTGCTAAATGAGTTGTCAGTGAAGTGATTGCCGGTGAAATACGGACCCAAATTTCTCGCTGTCATAATAATACGGACCTAAATTTCTCACAGTTATAATAATTTGGTAATCGTGTCATATGTAACATAATGATAACTCAATACAGTAATTCAGTAATTATGTCATAATTGTATAACAATAATCCGATTTATCAAATTAACTGAATATTGTACTTGTAACGACCAATCAAAAACGTTCAAATACACAGCTTCTCGCCTAAATTTTTCCGGTTCCGTTGACAATCACATAGGGTTAGGATTAAGCATTTGATTAGTTGTGGGTATAAGTTTTACTAAGTTTCACCTGCTAAATGAGCTGTCGGTGAAGTGATTGCCGGTGAAATAATATCCAAATTTCTCAGTCAGAATAATACGGATAGAGATGGGTAAAATGCACATTTTATAATAAAATGTGCATAAATGCGTATTAATGTGCATGATATATAAAATGCGCATGATACTGCATGATAAAAATTTTTTTTTAAATTTTTATCTTTATTACCGATAATATATCTAAATAAAGATACTACATATTTATCCTTAATCAGATTTTGCCTACATAGATAACTTTTACTAATTATTCGATTGTAAATTTCATAGTTGCTAATCTTATATATTAAATCATAAATACAAATTTAATAAAGAAGATATATAAAAAAAACTTAATATTTTAATAATCTTAACTATTTAAACCTTCATAATCTTGACATTTTATATTTTAATTACTGTTAAATCCCTCAAAACTGATTTTGCCAATATTGTTAATCTACTGAATTGAATAGTTTATAATGTTTTTAAATCCAATAACTTTGCTAATACAAATATTATCTACTTAGATATCAATTTGATGAGGTTTAATAGTAGTTTTTTTTGTTTTTTTTTTAATATTTTAATTTTTTTTAATATTTTTTTTATTTTAATTTTTTTTTTAATTTTTATATTTTTAATTTTTAATTTTTTTTTTATTTTAGCTACTGATTTTATTTTAAGTAATCTATTATAATTTATAAAATAAAATATTTATGATTTTAGTTTATTTTTTAATTATTTTTTTTTTGCAAAATAATCTTCTAAATAATCATCATTTTCTGAAATATCATCCATAGATAAATCAAAACTTCTTTTTTTTAAATTATCAAAATTATTTTCATGATATTCTAAATTATTATTTAATTATTATTTAAATTATTATTTAATAATTAAAATTGTTATGTTATTTTAAAATTACTTATCATTATTATAATATATTATCTAAATAATTATCAGATTCATTATTTAAAATTTCATTCTGCAATTCAACTCATCACTACTTAATTCTTCATTTAATTCATCTTCTAGTTTATTATTTAATTCATCATTTGATTCATTATCTGACTTATTATCCAATTCAATATTTATTTCATCATTTAACTCATTATCTAATTTATTATTTGATTCATTATCAGAACTATCACTTGATCCATCATCAAAATTATCATCAAGACTATTATAAAAACTATTATCTAAACTATCATTTTCTTCGTTACCTGATTCAAGTATATCTAATATATTTGTAGTTTCAATATTTTTATTTTTGTAAAGTTTTTGGGTAATATGTGGTAATTGCAATCTATAATTGCTATATATATAAACTAATTTAAAAACTCTTGGTTTAGTTAATCTTTGCCTTTTTTATTATAAATAAATGAAAAATTAGACCAGTTTCTTTCTGCTGCGGCTGAAGAAGTTGGAATAGATAATATTTTACATGCTAATTTTGCTAATTCAGAAGCAGATTCTTGAAAATTACCTTTTCATCACATTATTGAATCAATTTGATTTACTGATTTCCAACCTAATTTATTATTAAATATTTTATTTTTAGTTTTATATTGAATAATTTGATGCCAAATAATTGATGAATTTTATGAACAATATTTAGAAATAAAGTTAGAAATAGTTGTCATATAGTTATTTGATGATTAAAAAAATTTGCAACTTCCATAACTGGATAATATATTTTAACCCATCTAGCTTTTAATATATTTTTTATATCTTCTAAAATATTTAATTAAATAAATTAATTAGTTAATAAATTATTATA